AAAACGAAGAGAATTTTCAAAAAAAAAACGAAAACAACAGTTGTGGGACTAATTCAATTCAGTTACATCTACATATGCAATAAATTCATCACAATTTAGAGAAGAATGAGACATGATTCCCGAGTACTTATCAGTTTGCGTCCGTTCGTAGATGCGCTAATCTAGAATTCTAGGAGTTAAATTTGAATAAATTCTTCGTGCTGCAATAAAAGTTGACATATCAAGAATAAACTGAAGATTTTGAAAAAAGCTTTCAAACTCTCAGTGCAGGTGAGCGGCTAGTCATTCGTCGGCGCCCCTCCGGAGCGCCACTCACGGCTAGCCGCTCCCAAATTGAGAATCAATTCAACCGCACGATGCCTATAGTCTATTCGTAATAATATCTCACATAACCATACGATACATCTAACACTATAAACATCATCGAATGGTACCCACAAAAAATTTCCCTACAAAGCATTCCTATCAAGAAAATGCGACGATCTAAACAGCTCCTAATCCATTATAAACCTGTTTGAAGTACAAAATTTCAAAAATCTGGCAACGCCATCGTGTTCCCCGACTCCGATTACCTTCGGTCAACCCTATCCCTGCAGGATATTCTTCGAGGTTAGTTAAGTTTATGCATCTAGTTTCCTATTGGACAAGCGAACGAACGAACGCATTTAACTCGTTTTTCGTAATACCCTCTTTTCAGTAGAGGGAACAACTTTCCAATGATGATAACTATAGCTCTATATCTTTCTCAGTTCAAATGTGTTTTAGATAAATGTGAGATCTCGTCTATTTTTGAAACGAATATGACAATAGTGAAATATCAAATTAAGTATGTTTTGCAAGTGTTAAGCAATTTTCACTGTACGATTGAATATATATATATATATATATATATATTTTTTTTTTATGAAGTATTTCATTATAAGTATTCATAGAAATATGCACAAGCTCAATATATTTAACCTCGAAATGATTAGTTCTTTGTGAGATGTGGATTGGAGTATTGGTTGAGTTTTTATGTGATATATACGATCCTGTAACATGTTGAATATTTTAGTAATATTCAATAATTTAACTGATTTCTCATAAAATCTTATGTTAATGTCATATAATCAAATAGTTCATAATATTATAGCTTTTATATTTCTCGAATGCGGAAGTATTACACTACAATTTTTGTCAACTCGCACTCGTGTAGAGACGTACTCGGATATTTGAATATATAACGACCAGATAATAGCGTGACCATATATGAAGAAGTATGGAGGAAATCGCAAATAGTATATGAATCTTGTTTAAAAGTGCCGTGAACGATGCGTGCGCCACTAGGTATCTTCATCTTATATATCGAAATATGTATTGGAGATACTGAACCATGTGAATCGGCGTATCTTTCTGAATACGGCCTCTTATGAACAGGCTTACTTAACGCACATTAGGGGTGGCCCGTTGATTTTAATTTGAGTTAATTAAGTAGTTTTACTTAACACTTAATATTAATAAAAAAAAGATATTTACATTAGTCACTTAATTACTTATTTCGGTAGGTGACAAGCAAAACTGTTAACCTAGTTCGAATAAAATAAATAATAAGTATTGCCAGTGTTATGCAGAAATTTTCCCTCAATGTTCAATAAAACTGAGCCTAGGATTCATGTCGGTTTTATTGTTTCATTTTTTCAACAAGTCAGTGATATGTGGCACTGGTTTATGTTCATGGAATTGAGTAAATGATGTTTATAGAGAAAAGTTTGCCTTTGTGCGTGCCTGATGCACATTCTTTTGTCGGTTTATACTTTAAAATTCGGTATTAGTTAATCCTTATGATTAGTTTATTGAGGCATAGGTATCAGGTTAAATTTAGAAACAAAATAAGGTTAATACATGAACGGAAAAGTATGTTGAATATTAAGAAGAAAAATGATAATAGTTTGTCATTCCTATATGTATTTATACGTTAACGATGACTTGGAATTAGTCTAAGAAATGGTAATCTCATGAAATATCCCAGGCGAAATAGCGGTTTGATTTCATTTGTTTTTGCATCTAATGGTGTTGGGGATTGAACCTGCAAAGAGAAATTAATGGTAACATAACAAATTGAAAAATTTCATATATCATATATTTTACCTGCATTGAGTCGTGAAGAGGCTGAGCATGAATCTGATGTTGAAAACCGACGATCAGACCTATTGCAAGTAGATTGAGTAGAGAGCGAAACATATTTGTTTTTTGACGTGGTTGTATTAAAAAATAATTGTAGGCAGTGTCAAGAAAAAAGAGAAAATAAAATAAAATCTAAACTAGACTATTTCTTTCTGCTTTTTCTTTATTTGCCTGACTGATTCTTTGCAGTCTAAGTTAACTGAAGAGCAAAGAAAAACAGTTTTATTCTCATTATTTTTAGTTCTATCGTGGATGAAACATGATAATTATGAAAATTATAGATTTTTGATGGTGAAAAGATTAGTGTCTTTAGAAGAAAGAAAATCCTTTCGCTAAACAGATGTGGAAGTTTATTTTTTTGTAATAACCCAGAAACAGTGAAAACAACAGTAGGATGTTTTTGCATCGACATCCTGGCCATTTATGATATGTTGTAAAATATGCGAAATACACTTCTGTTAATTGAACAGTGCATGAATAGAATAACCAATTTTCAATTAAGTAGTGTTAGAAGTTTTCGGTTCGAGAAACAATGAGAAGTTTCTTTTCAGTTCCAACTTATTGCATCAATAAACAACATATTGACTACGACAAGTGTTCTATTCTTCAATCAAAACTCATCATTTTACGCTCATTTTCTTTTGAAATTATCTATGAAGATTAAAGAACCGATAAAAAGCTTTACGAAGAAACAAAAAAAAATACCGTAAAATGCAGAAAAAAAGAGTAATATTGTAGATCTGCACTACAGCAATTTTTCTTGAAAAATGACTTGTTTCACACAAATTGTGCAAGAAATTAGCATTGCTTTAGTTGTTGCAACCAGTATCGAGTTGATAGATTCTATTTTTCTAAATCAAAAATGTATCTTCTCATGTACACGGAAAGTAACTAAACTAATAAAAAAATCACTTTCTCGATACTAAAAATGATTTTTACACTTAGAAAATTATAATGCAACAGACTGAATGAATGAATGAGAATTTTTTGATTTCTAATATTTTTCCCGTGTCAAGTACGCTTTCTTTTACTCAGTCAAACACCCATATTGTGCTTTTTTTCAAGTACAAAAATCACTTTTCACGTTGAAAAAGTGACTTATGGCGCAAAACGGTACTTAAAATGGTTGACTTTTTATTACTTTAAGAAATTTTGGTAGACTACTTTATTGAAAAATACTTAGTTTACTTTCCCGTTATGCCTAAAATTAAAACTTCATCGTGAACTAGCTCGTACAAGACTCATGATGATGGGCATTTTAACGAAACAATAGACTTTCGGTTGTCAAATTCTCTATAAATGAAAAACAAAAAAGAAACTTCGAACTGATATCAATGAAATACTTCTTCAGAGAAGTCAAGATTAAGTTTGATTTATTTTCAGGTCGAAGTACAACACTGATAGCAGGTAAGTTAATGCAAGTTTTTCGTTGTCAAAAACATCATTTCGATCCGTATAATTGATAGCAGCTACAACTATTTATTTTTCTCGTATATTTCATGTGTCTATTGGATTACTCTCAAGTTCTCCGTTCACCTATTACTGAAATAAATTTAACCTTTGAAATACTGAATACTACTACTGAATGTACGAGTAACTGAAAAGTCTTTATCTGTCACAATTGGCAATATGCTAGATCGATTGTATTTGTAGGCACGCTCTTTAATTCATTTGTATGTGAATGATAATTCTCTACGAAGTAAAATTTATTTCTATCAATTGAAATATTTAATTTTTTTATTTATCTAGAACGAATAAATTGAATTTGCTAATTGATTAGCTTCAATTGGCAAAATAAAACAAGGCAAAATTCAATAATAACTCAAGCAGAAACAATTATACCAATAAATTTCGATGACAACTCACCAAAACCGTATCATATGTATATATACGTATGTATAAAGCAGTGAGTTCTCTTGGCGTAATCGCGCTATTTCTCGTTCATTAAACTATGAATATATCGATATTGTTCACACGACATAATCTCCTATTTGATAGAAATCTAAATAAGAAAGAGAGTAAGCATACATTAGTCTTTCGTCATTTCTCTTTTTTTGACATTTTTCCAATTAAATATCGAAGGATATTCAGTATAGTACTCGAAAATGTAATTGTTCGTGTATTGAAGGTTACATCATTCGCACGAAACATAAATGCATGCATAAAACAGAATCATCGTTACGATCGATCATCACCGTTATACACATTGAGCATACGTTGTACACAATATGAGACACAACATGATGATGATGATCATCATCATCACCTTACTAAATAAAATAAATTGACTCATAAATATGTTAATATAGATATATTTGTACCACAGTATTTATTGACATTGAAGAAAAGAAATGCAGTATATCACTATTGCACTTTATATTTATAAATGGAATCCTAATTGATCCCATCCGTTAGTTTACTTGTAAATAGATCAGTCATTAAATGTATTAGTATCTCTTTTTTTCTTCTTCTTCTTTGCTCTTGTTGCTTTGTCAAGGTAAAATTCTTCCTTCTAGTCTCTAATTGATGTTTATAGTATGTTCATAGATAGATATATATATATATATAGATGTGTATATCGGCATTCTAAGTTGCGAGTAATATTAGAAGTGACGACAGTTCGACAGATAGTCTCTTCTCCTTCATGGATGGCCTCTTGGATAAGTGATGTAATCTTTTGAGAAAATAACCTTGCATTGAATTGATGCTGAGCAGAAAGAAAAGAAGAACAGAGGCGAAGAGTGATCAAAAATCTCGAGGGATAATATTCTGTAGTATATCTATTTACTCGCGTAGTAGTAGTAGTAGTAGTAGCTGTTCGCTTCTTTTTGTCGTCTGTTTTTGCTTACGTTTGAGATACATTTGATATTTTATCTGTCACTCCTATTTGATTGTGGAGTAGTGAACGCATAGTTGTGCGTGGGATCACGTCAATTCATGAGCTTAGACCTACTTATGTCCTTAATTTGTTGTTGTTGTTGCTCTTATTGTGACTGAATAGAAGCGAAAAAGAAAGCGACGAGAGAGCAACGTCTATATCGTTATTTGTGATCCTTGCACACGTCTTCATTGATCACTGTCTCGTTTTTGTTTCATTTCTTTGAATTCCTCTTTTTCTTCTTCTTTCTCTTTTGATCGTCGCCACCGACTCATTCAGAACCGAGAGAAGATGCGCGAAACAAAACTGTGAGTATGTTAGTCGTAATAACCAAATCAAAACAGGACTTGACAATAATAGAATCAAACAAGTTTATAGATTCTTGTCTGCACGCCCTATTTTCTTCATCATTTTTTTTTTCATGTTTGAATAGGCTGTCAGTCTTTTCATCACTCAGTCACTACCATGTATCGTAATATTTCTTCTAGTAGTAGTACGTTGTACTCATTCTCATTTTCTTTCATGCTCTGTCATTCGACGCCATGAATACACACACGTACAGTAAGATATGCTTAGTTGATACGTTTTATGTACAATCGAACATGCACACTCCAACATAGAAATACATCCGATTTTTGATCTCATACCCATGTGTAACAATTGCATTGTATGAATTAATGATGTAAAAAGAAAATTATGATGATAATCATCATTTTGTTCAAACTAAATGTAACGATGTCTTATCCCTTACCTGGTTCTTATCATTTTTTTTCTCTCTTTCTCTCAATATGTCTGTCATGTCTAATAATCAATAATAAGAATAACATTACAAATATATATATATATATATAGATAGATAGACGATATTTAGAAAGATGCGCATTTCTTTGTCTGTGTCCTGTTCTTTCTATCGTTTAATCGTAGATCTTTTCTCTTTTACCGTTAATAGAAATTACGCATGTGCGTATGTCTCACCAAACCTGTCATATTACTCTCGAGTAAACGTGTGTATTGTGTTATCTCTCATGTTCGTTTGAGTAATTCTAAACGATGTGAATATGTATACCAACGCGATTTGTGACAGTTTCGCTTCGTCTACTTGAAAAAAATATAATAGAAAAGAAACAGCTTGTTCGTCGTGACGCAATATGTTCGCGCTCTCTCTCATTTCGAGCTCAAAAGCGTGAATCTATTCGGTTTATTTTTTTAATCTTGATGCAAGTATGCATACAGGAAGGATGAATTCTAATTTTGTGTATATACGATTCGTATTGCCTTTTAGGTTGACTTGTTGAAAAAACAAATCGACAGTGCAATGCAAGAATTTAGTCAAATAGCTTCAAGGGCTTCCGTTTTATTGACCATCATCTCAATTATCCTGTCTTATCATGTCTTCTTTCTTTCTTTCTTTTTTGTTGAATAGTTCCGCTCTGTACACTTGTTTAACCATGACCTTAACACGAGTGGCTAGCACCATATGAATGACCAGCGGCAAAAGAATCGATTACACACCCCTGCCGTCTGTGTAGTAGCCTTTCATCGTCAACATCGATTGTAATCTAGAAAAAGAAAAAGCCAGCACTGCTTAATCTGTTCATCATCGGACAATGCTATTAGTGGCATTTTCAGTATTAATAATCAATGAATATAGGGAATCCTCGATAGAATAGTCGTTTCATTTCATCGACATTTTGTATTCATCAAATCGACACGAACACGCATGCATACATGTATATTTATAAATATACACGCACGCAACACATAATACTAGGTAATAATCGATGTCTCCTCTTGCAATTTTTTCTTCTTCTCCTTCTTATTTCAATAATGATTTAACCTCGATTATACAATGTTGAATCCCTCGCTTTTTTTCATATTCTTCAGTGCAGTATTTATATATAAATATAAATCAAATCGTTGTTATTGAAAGATCAACAGCGCATAGAGACTCTTCACTATTCTATTGACTTCTGTATCCGACCGTGTATATGTGTTTCTTCATCATTAATTTCTAATCATTCTTGATACACATATGCATATAAGTATACATATACGGATATATGCTCTACGTAAAAACAAAAGGAAAGGGTGGAGAGACAGTATGTTATTATTAGAGTTGTGGTATGACGTTTGATAGAGAAATGTCAAATATGCGACATCATTCTAATGAGAAAGTCTCACAATGTGAGACATTATAAGTAAAGTTAATCTATTCTCTTTCACTTTTTATTTTTATTGTTATGTCTTTCCGATTTCTTTCAAAAAAAAAGGGAGGGACGTTGATTAATGCATACGAGGTTGAGTTTTAATACACCTGCACTTTTTCTTGCAACATCGACATACAGAGAAAAAACGCCTCTTCAATGTATTATCGATTCCGTTTCTTTTTATTTTATTTTAGATAATGTTTTACTATTACATTTTTTTTCTATTCATTTATTCAATAAAATCTTGCCCATTGAAAACAGTTGATAGTCGATCTGGTTGTTACTGCGGCATTGAAATTGATGGTACAAATTATATTCAATGTCAACCGTATTCTATTGAAATTATTCCTGAATTTACTCGTTCGTATATACACGATAAATTAAATCTATCATCGAATTTTATTCGCAACATAACAAAGGAATCGTTTAATAAATTGCGAGTTAAAAAAATCTATCTTCAACAGAATTTAATCGAACATATCGATAAAGAATCATTTAATAATAATATTCTTAATTATCTCGAAGAACTTCGCATTGATATGTTAAACAATGGTAGTTTAGAATTTCTTTGTTACGGTGCCTGGCAAAAACTTCGTCTACTCGAGCTGTCAGGTTTTAATTTTGATCAACATCAAATATGTTTTGAAAAACTTCATCGCCTCGAAAAATTAATTATAAAAAATTCTAAAATTAGTTTCCTATCGCACCATTTATATCAACTTCCGTATTTATATGAATTATCATTAATTAATAATTATATTGAATATTTAAATTTTGATAATGATCTTTTGGCAACATTTTCATCTTCGATTAAAGTATTTAATTTGACATCGAATCAACTTCGAACCATACCCAATGATTTATTTACTCGCATGCCGCATTTGCATACACTTGATATTTCACATAATTTTCTCGAAAGTCTTCCGATTATAAATCAAATTAATCTACTGAATATTAGTTTGACTCATAATTTGATTAATTATATTCAGCTAAATGATAATCAAAATAATTACGATTTATCATTTAATCCAATATGTACATTAGAAAAGAGCGAATCGAAAACAAATTTATTATTGAAAAATATTACTCATCTACATTGTGATTGCCGTTTAGCATTTTATCTCGATGAAAATTTAGTAAATAAATCAGAGATCATAGGAATTCAACGGCCATTTGATAGCGAAACAAAATGCTCGACACCCTTTGTATTTAATGGATTTTATCTTAAAGATTTAACTTATGAACAATTACTTTCATCATGTTCCAATGATTTACCTATGAGCTGTAGAGAAGTTCATCATTTTAAACGAATTCAAAACTACGTAAATGATATCATGGAGACGACAACTATCACCTCGACGATGCCGACAACAATAAATCCTATACCAAGTTAGTAAAAAAAGAACCTAAAGATTTAGTATCACCTATCTTTTTTTCTTCTAGTCAATGATATAATTCCAACATCGGATGATATATCATCATTTCGTCTAACATCATTTTATACGATGTTCGACAATAATAATTTACTCATTGATTGGGATTTTGATCCAATATTTTCAACGACTAGTCTGTCCCAGTTGCAATTTCAAATTACTGTAGAACAAGAAACTTCATTGAATACTCAAATTATTCGACGTAGCGGTTTTATATCACCGTATCTGAAACAGTACACGATTCATCATATCCCATCGAATAAAAACTATTATGTTTGTTTACTATTAACACGATCTTCTGTTGGCACGGATAAATACTGCCGAGAAGCACGACCAACAATAATAACAACAACAGCAATATCTAATACAATTCTATCAAAGCAAGCAGTTGTTCACATGCTGTTTACCAATCGTTCTATTCTATTTGGTTTTCTATTTGGCGCAATTCTAACCACGAGTCTCCTACTGGCACTAGCCTTTCTCTGTCATCTACGATCTAAACGACAACGTTATCAACGTGCAGCATCATCGCTATATCATCATAGTCACCGTCATCCTCTTCAACAGCAGAAACATTATTTATATATCGATAGAAATGAAGATGATGGAGCCTACTCAAATTCGGTATTTTCATCATCATCATCATCATCGAAATTCAATCATTTTAGAAGAAATCCTCGTCGAGCATGTTTTCCATCTTTACCGCCCAATCAATCATGGTATCATCGCGGTTTAAAAGAGTTACCAACAGCACCACTACCATCAACTTGTTGTTTTCACCATCACCATCATCATCATACACCAGATACAACGATGAGTAGTAGTACAACAGCACGACGCATCACTTCACTATCATCACAATATAGTAATGAAATGGATAAAGAAAGAATGACATCAACATCCATAATGAGTAGTACTAGTTCAGATGAACATGCACATAATAGTCCAGCTAAACATCTTTATGAAGAACTTGCAGACGAAACGACAATGCTGAGACTAAATAATACAACAGATGTATTTCTTTGATCATTTGTCTTTGTTTATTGTAGATTTTGCAATCGTGTGTTTGGTTTTTCTTTCTTTGTCTTATTAAAAGTATTTTATTCGAAACGAGATAGTACCTTGAAAAGTCCTTAACTGCAAAATAAACTATTAAGAGTTATCTAATTTTTCTTTTTCAATCTCGAATACAATTGAGCAGCTTGTAAAATAGAATAAAATAAGTCAGCACACATTTTTGTTCTAGATTAAATATTTCGGTTCATAAAAGTTGACAAAAATACTCTAGCACCGATCACATGTCACAGAATTGTAAGAAGAGTAACGGAGAACTTCAATCAATATTTTCTCTTTTTTTTTACTGTTGTTGATAAATAAGAATATAAGCTGCTTTACTAATAACACCAGTTTCATTTATTGCTGATACAGACGAGTCATCAAAAATATGCCATTTTTTATCATGAGAATTTTTTGCATATGCTGTATAATGTCCACCACCTACATCTCCCATATGATTACTAACAGCGATCAAGTTATATTTTGCTTTTGCTTTTTCAGTTGGATTTAGAACATATTGAGATAAATCTAAATCATCGATTGGACAATCAATCAGTAAATCATTTTTATTCCAACTATCACCAGTCTGACTAAAACGTGTTAATTGTACAATTAAAACTTTTGGTAAAAGCCATAGATCAATCTTTTTCGTAGCTTTTTTTAATTCAGTACATTTTGTACAATACCACAGATCATCATCAGATAATACTTCTTTTTTTGTAAAATGTTTAAAGCAATCTAACAATGTTGTTGATGGTTTTTGTTGACTACGTGTTTGAACACCCGAGTCCATGGATGAAGATTGCTCTTTTTCTAAACGTCTGTCACCATCGATTTTTTTATACTTATCAACGATTGATGCTGCGACATCAACAGTAAGTGTTGTCTTCTTACGATTAAAATCAATATGCTCATCAAGATATGATTTTAATGGTTTGCTTGTGGAAGAATAACTTTGCGTGAATACCAATGAAGCGCTATAGAGTGATTTATTCTCTGATGGATCAGTTGTAGGTAATGAGATAAAATTACCAATTACTTTCTAAAAAAAAGAATGACTGATGATTAAAACGATGTCAAATGGTCAAGGATATAGTTACCTGCAATGCTTCTTGAATATCTTTTCCTTTACAATCATTTCTTGGTACGCTAAGATAAATAGGTAAACCAAAATTATAATGATAATAATCATCGCGGAATGTGCATGGCATTAAAATTTTGTCGCTATCAGATTTTTTTAATGAATAAGGTACTTCATAAAAAACAACACAATGCCGTTCAAGTATACTTGTTAATAGAGTATTGTCCCCATATTGTAAATGAACTCGATGATTATAAATTTCGGCAGCTAAAATATAATCTGGTTTCGGTTGATGTCCGTCATAATCCGATGCTTTTGTGAAATCTTCTTCCTCTTCTTCTTCGTCGTCATCGTCATCATCGTTTCGATTAGATTGATTTGAGTTTGATGCAGCAGAATCAGTATCCATAGGTTCTCTTTGACGGATGCTTTTCATTTTTGGTTGAAAGCGATCACAAAATTTTTGCATTAGATTACGCATACGACCATTTTCATCACATTTGATACTATACGATTTAATTTGTCCATTTACACGAACATAATCGAGTTTAAATATTCTTATTTTGACTTTACCTGGCAATGGTAAACTTAGAAAACAGAGGGGATCAAATGTACGTGCTTGTGTACCACATGTCAAACATGTTACAATTGATTTAATTTGTCCATGAAATATTTCATGAATTTTTGATTGATTTCGTTTTCGATAATATTCCCATTGTTCAGCAGCTAATGCTGAATCCGTCAATTTTCCATCATCGTTTTTTTTTTCAACATATGGTTTATTTTTAACAAGATTTAAATCTTCATGTAAACTATCAAGTAAAAACGACATAAATTCTCGCGAATCGTGTTGTGCAAAACCACTAAATTGTGGCGCATAACGTGCTACGCTTTGTTTTAGGGATCTTGGCGCGCAACAACTTGATTTACCCGACCACATTTCACGTATAAATTCACCATATGCTTTAGCAACATCACCTTTCATACCTAATGGATTATCACGATTGATATGATCTTCATATTGACCAAGAAAATATGCTGTTAACGGTGGAACATTCGATAGACATTGTAAAGCAGAATTCATGAAGCAAGTATTACCCAAATTCGATAAACCACAAAGGCCAGGAGTGTAGTGTGATTTCGAGCCAACATCATAATATGGTTTATTAGATGAGAAAGAACTGTGTGTTGATATATTTCTAGATTCATATGTAATAAATGCATTTTTTGTTAGATCGACATCATCCAGCGTTAAATTTGCTTGTTCACTAATGGGTTCCCAATCGAAACCGTTTTCATCCATCGATGCATATAAACGATTATTGGAATTCATTGGAAAACAATATTCCTTACAAATATCTCTTTTTAGATCTTCTACTTTCGTTCGGCGACTACGATAGATTTGTTTTGATTTTGCATGAGAAGCTCTTGATTCGCGAAGCCGTAATGGTACAAGAAAAACTTCAATTATAGTACTATATTCACCGTGTGGAATAACTTTACGAATTATTTCTTGACCTTCTTTTTTATAAGTCACAACTAATTCTTGATAGAGTTCATATGGAATGAAGCTGTAATCATTTCCTTCGACAGCATTTGCACGAAGCTGTACTTCACTTGAACTATTAGCTGTTGTTGGATCAATTAATTTTGTAAAATCTATTGGACCTGGTTCAGTGGGCTTTTCTTCGTCTGATTTCTCGACACCAGCATAACGTTTCCAATGTTCTAGCCATTTTTTATCGATAATCACATATTTATCATCGACTTTGTTCTCTTTTTCAAGTAATTTCTTATATTTTTCCACTGGGTCGGACACCATCACAAATATTTATCACCCGTTTCTTATTCTTTTAGAAAAGCAACACAACTCACAACACACAGAAGTATGAAAAGAAAATAAAAGACGAGAAATTGAGAAATGATTCAGCCGGTAGTTTGCGTTGTCGAAGAGCGTATCAGTTTTATGGTGCAACCCATGTTAATAGGTGAAGAACAGAAGAAAAATATAGCCGCAAATATTTGCACAACGTAACGAAATTTATCAATGCGTCATAGTTAGACAAAAAAATGACTCAAATTCTTTCATCAAATCATTATTATTGAAATCGAAACTTTGTTTTCTTTTAATCAATGATATCTCATTACTTTTGTGTATGATTAAGTATTTGATTCTTACATGTCATACAAGTGCATGCATGCAAGAAAAACAATTTCATCGCTAAAATGCATAGATGACTAGATAGGGTATTTTATGGAATCATATAGTATTAATCCTCCAATATTTATTCTCTTCGCTTTTGCTTACTTACTCAATCTCTCATCTTCTTATCATTCTAAAATCGATAAACGATGATCGGTGGAGTTTTTATATATAATCATAAAGGCGAAGTTCTTATTTCGGTACGATTATCAAACCGTTTTTCTTTCTTTTGTATAAATTAATCTTTACATTTTTAGCGTGTCTATCGTGATGATATTGGCCGAAATGCTGTTGATGCATTTCGTGTTAATGTTATTCATGCTCGACAGCAATCACGTTTTCCAGTTGTTAATATAGCTCGTACAAGTTTTTTTTATACAAAACGATCAAATATATGGTTATGCGCAGTTGCAAAACAAAACATCAATGCTGCCATGGTATTTGAATTTTTAAATAAAATGATCGAAATCATGCAATCATATTTTGGTAAAATCAGTGAAGAAAATGTTAAGAATAATTTTGTTTTAATCTACGAATTATTGGATGAAATATTGGATTTTGGCTATCCACAAAATAGTGATACAGGTGTATTAAAATCATTTATAACACAGCAAGGTGTTCGACCGGTAACACGCGAAGAACAAACAAATGTAACATCAGCTGTCACTGGTCAAATTGGTTGGAGACGTGAAGGTATTAAATATCGTCGTAATGAATTATTTCTTGATGTTATCGAATCAGTTAATTTACTTATGTCGCAACAAGGTCAAGTATTAAGTACACATGTTGCTGGACGTATTGTTATGAAAAGTTATCTATCGGGTATGCCTGAATGTAAATTTGGCATCAATGATAAGATAACTGTTGAGAATCGTACAAAAAATCAATTAGAATCAACGAATTCAAATAATAATTCAACAACCAACGGCTCAACATATCCATCATCAACAACAGCAAAAACAGCTATTGCTATTGATGATTGTCAATTTCATCAGTGTGTTAAATTATCAAAATTTGAATCTGAACATTCAATATCATTTATACCACCCGATGGTGAATTTGAATTGATGCGTTATCGAACGACAAAAGATATTAGTTTACCATTTCGTGTTATACCATTAGTACGTGAAATAGGACGAACAAAAATGGAAGTCAAAATTGTTGTTAAATCAAATTTTAAGCCAACACTTATTGGACAAAAAATTGAAATCCGTATACCAACACCACCAAATACATGTGATGTACAATTATTATGTATGAAAGGAAAAGCAAAACATAAATCATCGGAAAATGCTATCGTATGGAAAATGAAGCGTATGGGCGGAATGAAAGAATCACAATTAAGTGCTGAAATTGAATTATTACCAAACGATAAAAAGAAATGGAATCGACCACCTATATCAATGAATTTTGAAGTCCCATTTGCACCATCAGGCTTCAAAGTTCGGTATCTTAAAGTCTTTGAACATAAACTTAATTATTCGGATTCGGACACTATTAAATGGGTACGATATATCGGTAAAAGTGGTTTATACGAAACGCGATGTTAAAACCAAATATCAAAAAATATAAATTTTCTATTGTGCAATTCAATGTTGTTATTAATTATTCCCTTTTATATTTCACTCAATAGACAAATTCATTCCGTCGTGTCTACTTTTCTTTCTTAGTCGATCTCTGCTCACCTTTATATATTTAATTTCCTTTTTTCTATGTATTCACTATTTATAAAAAATATATATGTATAACTTACTTAACAAACATTGCCGAATTTTCGTACATAGCCGGTGTTAATAGCCATGGCCGTTGAAAGATTTGCGATGGACGTAATAATGTAAAGCCCATTGACATAGCAACAAATATTAATGGAAGAAGAATATGAGAAAGAAATACTTTCCAATTACGTTTCGTATGATGAAAACGTTTTAATAATAATGTTTGAAATTGACTAAAATATAGTTTACGACCGGTGATTTTAGCATGTTTTTCAGGAGTTAAATTTGCAGTTGATGTTGGCAATTGTGTACTACTTCCACTTATTATTGAAATACCTTTATAAATTAAAATCTATATTTGCAAAAGACATGAAATAATTTACCATCCATTGTGGCATTTGATTCTCCACCGAGACCACTATCATCACTGTTCGATGATGAGATTTGTGTTGGTTCACCAATTTTTCGTGCGGTTGTTACATCATTTAATTCGTCCATTTTACCTTGATCAGCTAATTCTGTTACCCATAGGAAAACCTTCAAATAAAAAGATTTAGTTAAAAACTAGAACAAAAAAAAACGTCTTCATTTAAATCATCAAACCTCTTCGAGTGTTGTATCGGATAAACCATAATTTCCAATAGCTAGTCGCTCTTTATTAACTTCAATTTGTTTAAATAATCGTTCGAATTTTTGTCGTTGCTCATGTTTCAATGAATATGTTACTTCACTGCCTATCTGTTCGCGTAAAGTTGCATCGGGTATTTCTTGTAATATAAATGTATTAAGATCTTTGAATTGTTTACTTTCTGTAGAAATAAAAAGAGAATCACGATGTGTAAGTGTGTAACCATTATCATTGTTTTATTTTACTTACCAACGACTTTAATTTTATTTTGTACTTTAAGTTTTAAATCCACTGTTAAACTATAGCCTTTGCCGAAACGTTTTTTCAAGAACATGGACGAACCACTACATAATAATCGACCTAAATAATAGGAAAATTAAAGATTTAGTTTTTTTTTTCTAAACAAAAGAAATTAACCTTGATGAATAATAGCAATTCGATCGCTTAGCGTATCAGCTTCATCCAAATAATGTGTTGTTAATAGAATAGTTCGACCAGTTCTATGTTTAAATATAACTTCCCAAATACTTCTTCTTGCACATGGGTCAACGCCTGATGTTGGTTCATCGAGAATAACTGTTCGTGAGCCAGCTACGAATGCAATACTAACAGCTACTCGTCGTCGTACACCACCAGACAACGATGAAACACGTTCATGTTGAAATGTCCACAAGCCCATACTACTTAGAAGTCTAATTAACAAAAAATAAATATATGAATTTTATTTATTTATTTATTTTTTGACTAAAACTTACTCATTTACATCTCTCTCTAATTCTTTCGAACTCATATTTCCTTTTAGACGGCCGTAGAATTGTAAATGTTCTCGAACAGTCATAAAATCAAATAAAATATCTTCTTGTGGACATAAACCAACATTTTTTCTTATTTGATCATAGTCTGTTGTAATATCTCGACCATAGATACTTGCTGAACCATTTGTCGGAGGATAAATTCCAGTTAATACACTAATTGTAGTTGTCTAAGGAAGAAAAAAGCTTGATATTACAAAAAAAATATGAAGATAATTATTACTTTTCCGGCACCATTATGTCCGAGTAAAGCAGTGATTTGATTTTCATAAAGTTTTAATGATAAATTTTCAACAGCTTTTTTATTTTCACCAAATTGTTTTGATAAATTTTCAAAAGCAATGCCCACAGTTAAATTGGTTGGTTCTAATTCATTATTTGGATCGATTTCTATAAATATATAGAAAAAAAAACGGATTACTCTGAACAATATCGATCATGTTATTCTTGAGGATTCAATAGACATTTTGTATGAGACGTGTCTCAGACAAAGGAAAACTCTCTGTCGTATTCTTACGTTTCATTCGAGTAGTAAATGGATTTGGTTGTTGTTCACGTTCAATACGAAATGCTGAACCGAATCCATCGTGTCGATCTGATTTCTTACAAAAACACCATGTCGATGGTAAGAACGGATACCAAAATGGTTTTTTACGACCATTTTTACCCGGCATCACCGAAAGAATATAATTTCCAATAAGACCATAAATAATCGAATCGACAAACATCATGACACAAGCAACACCAAAATTCATTTGATCATTAGGAAATATAGTTTTAAAAGCTGTATTCCATTGAATACCTTCACCTTGATATTCTAATCGTGTTAAATATATTGATGCATAGCCAAATGCTGTTGCACTCGATAGATTCTATTTAGCAAAAAAAATGGAACAAATATTTCTTTTCTTTTTGCCGATCAACTTACGATTAAGATTTTATGAACTAATTGCATTTTAGCTTCGAGAAACATAACAAGAATAAATGGAAGATAAGAGATAAAATAGATTAGTATGCCGCACAATGTAGCTAAATTTGCCTTGGTAAAAAAAGCACTCACTAAATACCTAAAATTAAAAATGATTTCAAATTGTATGAGGATGATGATCTCTTAGAGATATATTTCTGTTAAATATCGGACTAATAAAAATTTATACAAACCCAAGCATTAATGCTGACAGAGCAAGAGTAAGCAATGGTGTTACTGTTACAGTAAGTTCCGATGCTGGAAAAATGCCACCATATTTAAGAACAACTAAAACGAAAGGAAAATGTTCTTTTTAAACAAGATAATCTTATTTTTGGATATTTTTACTAGCAACAATAATTGACACGAATATCATCGGTATATATGAACTAATTAACCAAGAAATAAAATTAATAGTTGAATTAAGGCCCATAATTTTCATTGTCTAGAAATAGAATAAAGTGATATTTAGGTAGAAAAGACAAATTTCAATCAATACTTGTTCGACATTTCTTTCACGTTCACGCATCAGATTTTTTATTGATACACCCAATGTTGCTAAATAATTTTCATCGTAATTAAATTAACTTTATTCAAATATGAAAAGTCATATTCTTACCTGTCCACATTAATGTCCCCAAAATTGGTAAAATAAAATAATTAACATACGATGATTCTTTTCCGCTAAATCAAAACAAAACGAAATCTAAAAAACAGCTAACCGCGAGAAAAAATCTACGTACGGATCACCACGATAGCATGGATAGGGCATTAATTGCATATAAACTACAGGATTTGATGTGTTTTTACCAGTATCTTCAAAATGTAAATCAATGATAGCACGTTCAACGAGATCTTGTAATTGAATAAATCCTCGTAAATAATGCATTTCACGAAAATAGTCATTTTCGGGACCCGGAAAAAATAGCCAACTTGTTAACTGTTCTGTTGTTCGTACACTATCAACATCCATACGAATTTTAATATGAAGATGTGGTGGAAGAAAATTTGCATTAGGATTTGAACTATTTAAATTTGGAAAAACAATTCCTGAAAGATAACCAAAACAAAAAAAAAGGCATCAGAATACAATGTATTATCGCAGAGGTTCATTTACCAGCAATAACCATTCGATTTCGATGTAATTCTTTTGCACGTTCGACAAGTTCAGCTTCTGATTCAAGTGCTTCAAAACGATTCAATTCAATACAAGGCAAATAATCACTAAATTGTTTCATGATTATTTCAATATTTTTCAAAACATCAACATTAGTTCCACCACTGAAATTTTCTAACATTGAAATTATTGATTCCATATCAAATGTATTCATTCCGATAATATTATTAAACAATTCTTGAAATAGATGATTCGATAAAACTTTCTAAAAAAACAAAATTTATCATGAGAAACAAAAGGCGATGAATTTTTCAAGTAGATGATTACCTTGATATTGTTAGTATTTTGTAGATCGCCGAATAGAGCAGTTAGATTAAGTGGTGAAGTGACCCAAGCTTTGGCAAATTGATGAATTTTATCCAATTCTTCGAATGTTTTGTTTACCTTTTAAATGAAAATATTTTCATTCATGCTCATGATCGCGTTTCCGCTTGTAAAATTGAGAAGCCTACCTTGGCAATAATTGCATTAGAAACAGGTGTTGCCGGTGCATATAAAATTTTGCCAAGAAGCAATGGTTTAATCAGCGGGCCAAACGATATAGCCCACATCACTACTTTGTTCAATACTTCTTCGTATGTCTGAACAATCAACGCCAATATCTATAGTGATAAAAAAAACGTCTTTTTACTAATTTTTTCTGATAAATTCATGTATTGTTTTACCGTCTTCAAGGGATTCCGAAGATTGTTGACGTGTTGAATCATTTTGATTTGTTTTCGTAAATGCACCTGCAAATTCTTCAAAAATATTGCCATCTTCCGCCATTTGTCGTTGTGCATTCGTAGGTTTATCGATTTCAGCACAGAATATATTTGTTATTTTAGTAAATTGATCTTGATCTAAAAACAGCAATGTTTTGTTTCGATGAACATATTCATAAATATATAATCTTACTTTGTGATGAATCCATTTGTTGATTCAATCTTTTCACACGTTTTAATAGTTCATTAACATCACTGACAATAGGACCGACTTGTTTGAAAACATCAACTTCTTTCTCATCCATATTAAATAGATTAACGATATGTTGTCCACCACGATTCAAAAACTTAACAAAAAGAAACAAACAAACAAAGATAAAATTTAATTAATGAAAACTATTTGCTTTTACCATTTGTAATTTATCTGGCACAAGAAAATGTTTAAATATTGTATTAACCACTTTACTTTGATTCTCGAATGACATTGCACAAGAATAATTTGATAGTTTCTCGACACTCATATTTGAATTAAATTGTAAATACGGCCAACTTTTATAAATTGTTGTATTTAATGCATTGACATCACACACAGTTTCATGATATTCAGTATATAGATTAAATAAAACCTGTAAAGAAAAAGATCAAAGTAGTGAAAATATCTGATGATATTTTCTCGACGTCTCCTATTTCAATTAAACATTTGGAATTTTCTCAACATTTGTTTTCAGAGGCTTAAATAAAGATGTGCTTGAATGTAGATCTTTGAAGATAGAAACAAATCATCAACTTACAATTGGATCTTTGAATAAACGGCCTTGTTTTAGAAGATCAATGATGGACGATGATACACCATAATCTCTCATTAGTTTATTAGTAATAAATGAAAAATTTTTAAATACATCTTTCAACGGTACTAAAAAACAAGCAAAAACGAAATTTTATTGAATTTTCTTATGCTTTCGAACTTACATCCATTTAAAGTATCTTGTAATATAATACTCAAATTATGTATAAGTTCCAGGCCATCAACAATTGATAGAATCATTTTTTGCATCGATTCATCTGGTAAAGCCCAAAAATATTTTTCAACAAGATTCGAAACACTAAAAAATAATTCTAAACAGAAACATCTTTTCCTTTTGTTTTTGTTTTACTTTGATTTTAATCGTTGAAATTCGGGTAGATAAGTCGTGAAATTCACAAATAATGTATAGATTTCTTTTGGTGACGTTTCTTCTGTATTGATTCCATCAATGAGTGCCATTAGCCATTGATTTTCATTACTTAACACTTCAAAATCACCTTTAATATTCGATATTTCATTAATTAAACGTTCAATATTTAAACCATTAAATTTCTTAAATGAAATAAAATAGAAAAAAATCAGCGAAAACATTTCAAATCTTACTTTCATTTGAACTGACCGACCATATTGATCAAGAAATTGTTGATAAGCTTGAATATATAATAATTCCGGTACACACAAATTCCATTCTAATACTTCATATGAATCATGAAATGCAATAACAAATTTTTCAATTTCATTTCGATTACAAAATATATTCTTTAGATCACCTGGTGATTCTAAGTATCCCTATAGGAAAAAGAGAAAATCAGATTAAATACGATTTATTAATAACAAAAAAAAAATACTTACCAATCTCGTATTAAAATACCATTTATTTAGTGATGTTATATTTCTTCTTTGTTGCAAATATGATGTAAAATTATTTGAATCTTCAATCATATCATTTATTTGTACAAATTTAAATGTATTTTGAGAAAATACTGGTGCAAATATTTCGATTAACGGTGTTAATTGTTTTATGGATCTAATCAATGACGCATCACTAAATATGAAACGAAATAAACCAGGTAACATTTTGAGGCGTTCAAGTGTATGTAATAAAGAATTTTTTAAACAATCAAGTGTATCGAGCGTGATTGTATTGTGTTGCATGATATCGACTAAGTTCTGGTAGACTTGTATATTTTTAACAACATCAATTACTAATGAACAACTGAATTTTGATTGAAAACCATTTTTCACAAGATCACGAATCTAAAACAAAAATTGAGACAGCAGTCAAAAAAAGAAATTATTTAGTGATGAATTTTACCAATCCAGCTGTTTTATTTAAACGAAGAAATCGAGATATTTCAGCATAATCTTGATTAGGATCTTGTAGACAATGTATGCTATTTGTTGATGTTATTATTGTCATGAATGTATTGACTAATTCAAATAAACGGCCAATACCGAATATATAATTAAGAACAGGATCATCTGGTATTAAATTAATTATTGGTTGGATGCAAAGAAATTCGAGTGTTTCCGGAGAAAACTTATTGAACATTTTAAGGAAGTCAGGAATGTTAGCAAATGTTGAATCAAGAGAAGACGATGATTGTGTTTGGCCAAACAAACCAGACAATAGATCGAGTTGCTAAAAACAATAAAAATGATCTTGTTTTTCTCAAATTGAAAATCAACTAAATTTCAGGTTCAGATACACTTCGAAATAATATACTAGAAGTTTGCGAAAAAATTGCTTAGTGTTTTGAAAGACACCGCAAGTGGAAGGGCAGCTATTTTCGCTTAATTGATTGAAATATATTCTATCTTTTGGTGATTCACTCTGTTGAGGTTCCAAAAGGCGAAGAAAAAATAGTTTACACAAAGTACATACCCGTTTTTGTCGTTTGACCCAAGTGGTATATTCAGATATATTTTGTGGCATAAGAAAAGATTTCGGCATATTTTGATTGGGAAAATTATTTCCTTGAAATAGCGTTGACCAATCAATATAGCGAGCTTTCGGCCGCGGTTTTGTTGTTGTGATACCTGACATATTTGCCGTTGTTGTTAGCCGCATAATCTAAATAAAAATGCACAATCACATTTGAAATCAATTTTGTTTTTGCGATATTTACTTTTGTTGGAGCGGGTGTACTTAAAAAAGTATTAATTATATTAATATTATTCACAATATTATCAATAGTTCCACGTGGAGCTCCAGAGATTAGCGAAATAAATTGATCAAAATTGAACAATGGTGTTAAAACTGGTATTACGATATCCAATGTATTAAATATTGGCATTTTTAATATATCTGGATTAAATGTTTTTGTCATTTTCTTAATAAAATTATATGATCTACAATAAGAATAATCTTAGAAATCAAATAGAAAAAGTTCGACGAAAATAATTTACGCATAGAGATTAACGCCAGCTGCTTGTGTTCTTGATAATAAATCGCTTACAGCTGAAACACTCTCCAGTGTTAAACGTAGATCATTTTCAAATGATCCTGCTTTATTAATTGAAAATAATATATTTGCTAATCCTTCAAAAGCCATTAATGAAAAACGCATATCGGCAAAATAATTTTGTAGCTATTAATAAAAGATTTAGTTTAAATTTCAGTTCCATGAAAACAAATTACCTGTTCATAACGAATGCCATCTATTAATTTATTATAAATATTATCGACATTGTTATGTATACCGCAATAACGATCAACACGATCTTTTAAATTGGCCGATGTTCTATCATCTAAGATGAATATAGTCCAAAGTCCAGGTTCAAGGCAAACTGGCCGATATTTTGATGCTCCTGTTATTTTTGCGACAAGAAATTCCGCTAACTTTAAACAAAGAACTATATAAAAGATGTTTAGAAACAGAACGCTCAATCTTACAACAAGATAATTTATTCTTGCATTCAATATTTCATTTTCGAAAGCTTTTGGTAATGTTAAATCTGATTGCAAGAGTATATTTAATGTTAAATTATTGAATAATTGTTGAGCTGTTAAACTTTGAGCTAATAAATAGATAGAAATTTTAATTAGCAAAACAGAAACATGATATATTTTTGAAGAAATCCGTACTCATATTGTCATAGCGCTGAAGAAAATCAACAAACATTTGGGTGATTTCATAAAGCTGTAATATAATACGCTCTTCAGTAAGAACATGTAAATCCAGTAATATTTGGCCAAAACTAGAAATTAGAGACTCATAAAATATTTTCACAGTAAATATTGATGGCTTGTATCATATTTATATCAATATGAGCCGATAAAAGAAAGTCACTTATAATTGTTTAATTGCTTTTTAAACGAAATAAATGAATATTAGTCATGTAGACCGCTATGACTAGTGGATATTCTAAAGCAAATCTGTGCTGTTTGCTTATGGCCACTGTCTTTTACAGGCGAGAATCTCGATCGTAATCGATGTTCAAATTCTTTCAAATTCAGCGGCTAATTCTCTCTTTTCTCTTTTAAATCAAAGCAGTTACATATGAAAAAGCATGGCCTGTAAAAATCGTTTAGCATAATCCATTTTTATATAATTCATATGAAACTAAGTCATTTAATCATGAACTTAAATCTCTATCCGTATATCAGATTTCGAATGACTTGTACTTAAATTATGCAATTCAAACTTACAGTTGTATTAAATCTCGTTGATTTTGTACAAGTTCAATAATTTGTATTAATCGCGGAATAATCCGTGCGATTTCTGTCATATTCGGCATATTATTTACTAAATTTGCATATGAACTCAATTGTTTGACAGTATCTTCTAGATCTCGTAATCGTTGAATTTTATTTCTAATATCTTGTCCATTGATTAATTCAGAAATATTGCCAAACTAAAAAAAAACAACAACAACGAATTTATTTTCTTATCGATAAATTTTAATTAAACTTACATATTTATTAATCGTATCGTGATTAAGTTCATTAGCAAATGTACTTAAATCCATCGTAAGGTTCCGAACATTTAATTGACATAGCGTTTGAATTACAATGGTCGCATTTGTAGAATTATCAATCGTAAGAAAATAGTTAAGAAAATCATTTCGACAAAATGGTTCTAAATTAATTGTCTTGTTAAATGTATCATAGATTTCTGTTAGATTGAATGAACCATTTAGAAAATGATCAATCAAATCGTTTGGCATGCCAGTTAATAATAAATCATTTTTCAATTGATTTGTATTGTTAAATAAATCATGCATTAAAAATTTTCCGTCTAACAGTTTTTGTAAAAACGTATCATTAAACGCGCTATTTATATGATCAACACTACGTGTTAAATTAGGTAAATTGTATAAAACAGTATTTACACCTTCTGTTTCTGTTAAACCAAGTATTCCATCATAGACAGATGGAAGACTAAAAAATTGAATAAAAAATAAATAAATATATTTTTTAAACAAATAAAAACTAATTATTTACAAATTCTTCAGCGACGATGTTTGAACATCGAAGGGCTTTAAACGGCAGCTAACATTAGTATTGCACAAAAAACTTTGAAGAAAACCGATTGTGCCACTATTAGGCAATGGCATAGGATTATAATAACCTAGTTTAAATAATGAAAATAGAAAAACGAAAAAAAAAACTATTTTTTTCTGGAAAAATATATTTACATGCTGGTCGATTTTGAGTAGGTGAAGTTTTTCGGACAATAGCAACAATAGAAAAAAGTATTAGAGGCCATAAAAGTTCAAAAAGAAAAAGAACCTAAAAATAATTTAAGTAAATCACAACAACAATAATAATAAATTCAAATTAATTAAATATTTACCGGTTGTCGACGGCGAAGAAGAAAATTCTTTTTAAATAATATTCGGAATTGTGCAAATGCCATCTAGAAAGATAGACGAGACAATGAATGAAAGTATAATCATCTAGCTATGGACAAGTGTAATTATCAATAGACAGAGAAATAGAACAAATTTTGATCATCTAAAGTACATTGGCACTTGCTTGTCGTCGGCCGATGCATGCATACATGTACGTATGTATGTGTGCATGTATGTGTATATGTGTTTCGTTCATTATTCAAACGAAAAGATGTAATAATCACCTCTCTACGACAACAACACACCAGCATCAGCACGTGTTCACTTAAGCTTTGAGCAAATACGCATCAGTCTGTCTATTGAGTTTGATATGAATACTTTTAAGAAGGTAGAAAGAGATAGCAAAGAAGCTTTATACGCGTATATACATATACTAGCAATCTAATCGCAGCACGACACGAACAAAAAAGAAAAGAAGATGTAAATTAATCAATACAAACATCTATCGAAACCGACTTCATAATATTCACGCAAGGTAATACAAGCACGGTTCAAATAGAAGCTTAAGATGTTCAACGATATAAATATGCCTATATCGAGAGAGAAAAAGAAAGGAATGAAGGTCGATTGACGTCTAAAACAAGGGAGAGAGAGTGAGAGTGAGAGTGAGGAAAAAATACTTAAAAAGAATACTTGGAATAAAATTAAATGCCTTTTTACATAGACAAACAACTAGACTCGATTGCACAATGTTTAAATGAGAGAATTCTCTTAACAAATCTCTCTTTTATTACTCATGTTGATCCTCCCATTTCATTTTTACTCCTCATATTAACGTAAAAAGCACGTCATCATCCTCTTTATACTAAAGTATATTGTTTTTCGTTGCCCATTCTTTTCTTTCAGATCATCAACCATCTGTACATCGTCGCCGTGCTATCGTCACCATTCTACTTACCATCCCGTCATTTGGTATTGGGAGTGTGTTGTTGTTCTTTTTGCAATTTGATCATTACATCTCTTTGTTTCTCTCTCCCCTACCTCTCTTATTTCATCCGACGTTGTTTTTCTTGAATTTTCTTTTTCTTCCGTCTAATCATGAATCAGTGGCTCAGCTGAAAATCTAAATGAGAAAATGAAATCTAAAAAAAGAAAAGCCGACGATGGCGTCTATCACTTTTTTTTTCGTTTTTAAATTTAATCATCAAATGAAGACTAGTAAAGTATCGTCTTTCTTTTTCTCTTGTTGGATCAGAATTGCTTCTCGACAAATGATGTTCTACATCGCCTACGTCAATAAGTGGATATTTAAATGAGTTTCTAGCAACAAAATTTTAGTTGTAGTAGTATGCTAGCAAATATTTGCTGATTGACATTGAATTAAAGAAATGAAATGGACTATGATTGACATCGACATACAAGATTGAATCGGATAAAATTAAATTTTTACATTTATGATAGAACAAGAATAAAGGAGGATGATGATCATCATCATCATCATCATCATCATCAATATTATATTGAATTTGTGTATTACTGCTTTTTTTGACATTGTATAAATCAATGATTATTTTGATTGGCATAAAAAAAGCGATTTCTTTTTTTTTTTGAATTCAATGATACAAGTGAGGTTCCAATTTAAAAAACACAAGAAAGTTGTTTGATTTGAAATGATTAATTCTATTAATGAGAATCATCTCATAGGCGAAGGGCATACTCATATATTGTAAACTAATGATAGGTGTTGAAAGTAAACATTCACGTCCGAAATTTGTTTGACACATTTATTCATGGGATCAAGATTTATATCATCGTGTCAAATAAATTGCTTGAAAAGTCAATCAATTTTATGAATTGAATGTCGTAGGTAACGCATTAGTAATAACTCACTCGTATATTGACGGAAAGCAGATCAAATTTCTGTATCATATTTTTCAATTTTTATTATTATTGAAAATAGATATTTTTTTCTTCATAAATCTCTTTGTAAATAACGACAGATCATTATACTGACTTCAAAGTGATAAAAGGATATTATTTTATTGATGTAACAGATAATATATATTCTTATTCCCGCAAACACGCCATAGATTCTTTTTTTTTCTATCAATAGATGCCACTATTATCATTGGTTTGTTTCTATGCACTTTATAATGGCTACTAAGCTACTCAAACTCAAGCACAGCTGATACGACTACACTGATTCATATTCGTTAGAGATATATCTATTTGAACAAGTCAACATATCATAAACTATTAATATCGATGGCTAGTACAAGAAGTTTTTCGTCCTACTCATCTGAAACCGTTGAAGACGACGACGAAGAAGAAGAATCAGTAGCATCGCCTATAAAAACAATGCAACAACTATTAGATGATATTGATAAAGTTAAAGCCAATTCAAAATTAACTTTAAAGTCATTTGAGAAAATTGATGCAGGAAGCACGAAAATGGCTGCTAATCGTAATAATTCAATAGAAGGTCGTAGACAAATAAAAACTATTATTGAACATATACAGACTCTAGAAAGAGAAATGAAGGCAATGACTAAAGAATCAGATCCAAACTGGCCAGCGAAAACATTTGATAGAACAAAAATTGATGCATTAAATACTTTATCAAATCTTATCGATGAGTTGAATCGATTCGATCAGAATCTTGTCAAAACAACTGAAGCTGTCGAGAAAACAGCTCCTGTCAATATTCAATATTCAAAAAGATCAAGTTCTGATGAAACTTCAAATGGAGTTGAAGACTACGATTCTAAACTTCCGGTTCGTGATACAAATAAAACAATAACACCGGCTACGACTATACAAAAAAGAACATCATCAACTGACAAGACAGCGAGTGACGACGACGACGACGACGAAGAAGAAGAAGATGGTGATGATGATGCTGTGAATGATAATCATCAACTATTAAATGAACTCAAAAGTAGAAAAGTACTTCATGACGATCAAAAACGTACTGCCGACACTGGCAGCTCGTCTCAAACATCGAAATCATCGCATGCCAATCGACAACCATCAAATATTAATCCACATGAAGTATCCCAATCCTCACCAATCTTTCAAAAAAATGCGATTAAATTAACTTCAACACCGTTATCTCATAAGAAAATACCAGCTGATGATGATGATGAAGATGATGATGATGATGATGAAGATAATGATAATAGTAGTGAATATACTGTATCTGATGAAGCAGAAGATGGCGTAGAACTCGATGAACTTAAGCAAGCACGCAAAAGCATAAAAAATGTAGCAGAGTCCGAGTCCGATTCTCCTTATGACAATACTCATGCAGAAGAAGACGATGATTCAGACTCAGCTGACCAGCACGTACAAGAACTTCGAGAAGCAAAATACTTACCAGGAGATCAATTTCGTGTTTTGCGTAATTTCGAAAGTGTTTACAGCGACGATTTAACAATAAATCAAGGTGAAATATTAATTCTTATTGAACAACAAACTAAGAATTGGTGGCTGTTTAAAAACGCTGAAACTCAACAACAAGGCTTGGTATCTGTCAATCATATTGAAGCACTTTCGCGAGCAATCAATAAAGAATTACGACATCGGATAACGTCACCTGTATCACCATCCACACTTGTTGACATCGTTCAATCAAAAGGTTACATACCATCGGGTTTCATCGCGTCAGATTTAGCACCATTAGTTGACGACGAGCAATATAAATTATTTTATACTCTTATGCCTACAATGACAGACTCCAATTTAGCTCTAGCTGATATTACTTGGGACTATGATACAGATCAAATACATACTGAAAAGGTTAAATATCAAAAAATCTTAACTCTTCAAAAATGTTCAAGAATACCAAAAATGAAAAACGACAAAGTATATCATCAAATAGAATTGGTTCGATATATTTTTCTTTCTATTTAGATTAAAGTACTTAATTATTGTGTTCGAGTATGTTTATATGATGGTTTTCATATAATTTCTAATATTCATTCAATACGAGCATTTAAATCCAAGAAAACGAAAAGACATCATTCAACTCAAAGTTGGATTTTTACAAAAAATGATGATAAAACATTCGTTGACGAACAACCTAAATTATTGATACGTTCAAATGAAATGGATCCTAAAACACCGACATATTTATTAATGCAATTATCACAGTACTGTGAATTAAGAACAAATAATGAACGATGTGAAATCGGTTGTGGTTCAGCGATGATTCCGATTGATGATAATCAACCATCAAGAATTAGACGAATCAAGAGTTACAATGAATTTTTAAAAGGTGGACATTTTTATGAATTAAATGTTGATCTTGATTCAAAATATAAACAATATCATTCTATGGGTTTTAAAGGAAAACTTGATCAACAAAAAAAAGCGCGCATTCAATTCTCATTGGAACCCACAGATAAAAATTCTGATCTATTGTATGATTATCTACCTGTTACATCTATGATAGTACCATTAAATTTAGTAAAAATAGTTGCTATTTATCGACATGAACTTGCTTATCATTTGGAAAAACGTTCGCACGAAAATGTTTTATCAAGCGCACCACTTCATTCAAAATTTCTTAGTACCTTTTATCAAACACTTGAACAACCTGATCTTATCAATATATTTAATACATTATGTCATGAACATAAAAAGTTAAATATTGCACAGGAAAGACAGCAATGCATTCTAATCTATGAATCATATATCTATGCGCTTTTATTTTATCGTAAATTAAAACCATATAATTTTCATGATGGAAAAGAAAGACGACAACGAAAACAAATCATTAGAGAAATTATGGATAGACTATTACCATCGAAGAAAAATACTCAACCAGATATTGCCGCAATATTACTTGATCAAAGTTTAACTGAACATTGGAAACCATTTACAACGAATGAAATATGTTTTTCATTACAAAAATTCGCGTATAATTTTGTATCTTAAGCAATAAACACGTGCATCAATGTTCTTTTTTTTGTAGAACATAAATAATAAATTTTATCAAAAAATTATTTTGGATTCTTTTTATTATCTTTTACTCAGATCAAGGGAACTATTATTTCATCCACAATGCATATGCTAGGGTGTTTGAATTTGCAGCAAATTTATTTTCACGAAAACAATTTTTTAGGAATATATAGGAATCAATAGTCTCAAATGAGGCTACAATCAAAGAAATTTTTGATATTACGGAAGTTGGCAATCTCTGATATAATCGAATTTTTTGTAATAACAGAGATGTCAGGTCCAAAATTTTCAAACTTCCCGTAATTTCTTTTTTTGAAAATCTGAACGCCGCTGTCAATATAAAAGAACGAATTAGATGCTCATTTGAAGAATATATGACTCTTTTTCAGAAGAATCTTCAATTTTTCGAAAAATATAGGAATATAGGTAGACTGTGATGTCAGAATGGGACCCAACTGAGAGACCATCCCACTGCTTAAGACTGGATCAAGGACTCTTTTCCTTAACTTGCCGAAATTATTTGTGTAATTAGTTCAATAAAATCCTACTGAAGATATTCCGCTGTCTGATTGTATATTCAGCAATGCTCATGCAAACTTAATTGCAATACTTAGCACAGCTCGTCTTTTTTAATTAAGTCTGTGTTATTCAATTAATTTGCCATTATTGATTTTTTTTGCAACCTTATATATACATATGGAAATATTTTTTTAATTTTTTTAAAATCTTGACCAAAAATAGATTCAGTTGGTTGAAAAGAAAAACTAGATCGACATCGAATAAAAAATTTTATCTTCGAGCGAATCCAAAAACTGTTTTCATCTCATCCCATTGCATTTGTTTTAATAGTTTTTTTTCTTCTTCATCCTCTTGTCTTTCCGCTTGTTCACATCGATCAACAAATGTTTGTGCACGTTTTTGTGCTTCAACTAATTGAGCACTGTTTGATAAATCATTTGTATTTTTTTGATTACCAAATAAATTATATTTTTCTGATAAATAAACCGATTTGAATTCTTGACTTTTCAATTGACGAACCCACCATCTATATGCAAAAAAAAGCAAATTCATAATCACAATGAGGTTCGATTATTTTTGATTTGCACCCACTTTGCATTCCAATAGTCTCCTTCGCGTCGATGAAGTAAATAATGAAGGTAATCAGCTATATCATGACCACTATGTTTTTCAACAATATCATGGCACGAGCCAATATCGTCATTAAATAAATGAAGACTCGCTATAGCAAATAGTGGAGTAGTAGAATTTTTTTGTAATTGTAATATTTCATTATGTACTGTTTGATTCCAAGGTGTACTTGATACACGTTTTGAATGATCCGTAGGTGGCGGAGCAAGTAGAGAAGGTAATGGCGTACGAGAAAGAAGAGTTCTAGTAATTTCTTCAAAGCTGTATTCCATATCTATCTATCTGTTTCTTTGTAATCTCTCAAAAATCGACCTATGATTCACTAGCTATATTGTGTTTCTATTTTGATTGGTAGAATCTCAGCAAATAAAAATAAAGATTCATTTATATATCCCTACTAGGTACCGTGCTATTTAACTTCAGAGAGTTAGTTTGGTATAAAATATCACTCAAATAAAATCAAAGATAAGAAAAATTCTCATATATCTATTCAAACGATCTTCTGCAATCTATTGTATGAAAAAAAAATAATCATGCTTATTTATTTGTGAATGTTACGAACCAGTAACACAAAGTCATCGATCAGCTCGAAGTGCGATTATCAGACTAGTTTATCAAGCAAAAGTAATTCATCAACATCGAATAAAATATTCGAACAACAACAACAACATAATAATAATAAAATGGCTAAAGATATACGTAATCGTAATGTAAATGGTACATCATCTAATTTCTTCTCATCACAAAATTCTTCAATGACAACTAAAAAACTTGTAATAAAAAACTTAAAAAGTTAGTAGAATGACCTTTGTTTTTCGTATTTATGAACAATTTATTCGTTTTATTTTTGTATTTTAATATTAGGTTCAATTCTTACACCACCAGCAGATTATTTTGATAAAATTTGGCCTTTACTCAAACAAGCGCTTGAAGCCATTCTGAATGGTAGAAATAGTCCAACGAATGAAGAACAACTTTATCGTCATATTGATCATCTATGTACAACTACATCAACTAATGAAGCAATTAATTCTCAACCTAGTCTTCTTTATGAGAACTTAAAAGGAGTGCTTGATGATCATATACAAACTCTATTACCTACTTTACTTAGGTTAGATTATTTAAACAAGAGAATATTCATGTAGCTACAAGATTGTCGTTTTTTTTTTGATAACATTTCTAGTGATATAAATGACAGTAATGGTTATCTCCGAGTACTTAATTCTATTTGGAATGATCATCTTGTACGATCGGTAAGATTTGCATTGACTTCAGTAATAATTATAATAACTTTTTATGACTGTCTTTAGATTCTTATTCGGCAATTATTTATTGTACTTGATCGAACTTATGTTTTACACGCAGCTGTACCTAATATATGGTATATGGCTTTTTTTCGAATGAATCCAAAATTATTATTATTATTTTTAGGGAACTTAATCAAGACTTATTTCGTCGCTATATAATGCAAAATTCAATCATATCAAACAGGTATTCCTAACAATTGGAAGCAATAGAATAATTTTGGTTCTTTATAAATTAGATGCGTTAATGGTCTCCTAAAATTAATCGAACAAGAAAGACGAGGTGAAACTATAGATAGAACTCTAATGAAGAATCTTATTCGCATGTTAATCGATCTTCATGTAAGTTTTATTAGATGAGCAAAAAAAATGATTCGTGACTTCGCAATACGATTAATTTTCACTTCTTAATCTATAAGTCATACCTTTAATATTCGTAAATTTTTGTTGAAATTTAGCTTTACAAAAAAGATTTTGAACCCTTATTTTTGCAATCAACTGAAGAACTCTATCACAATGAAGGTCGTACATTAATTCAAACCTTAGAGCTAAGTCAATATCTTTCACATGTTGAACGGCGTCTGCACGAAGAACAATTACGAATTAAAAATTATATTGATCAATCAACCAAGTAAATTGAATTTATTGTCCTGTGAAAAATTAAATATTTGAAACTTCTAGACTGCAATTAATTCATATTGTTGAAAATAATTTGATAGCAAATCATATTAAACAAATGCTTTCAAAATCTTTCGATACGCTTATTGATGAAAATCGTTTATCATCAGTTGCTGTAATGTATGATCTATTCCTTCGAACAGGTCCACTTGGTATCAATGATCTTCGAGAAGCATTTGGAAATTATATTAAAGTACCAGAGAACGAATTTGTGACAAGGAAAATTCTCATTGACTTCTTTGTTTTTTAAAGGTTCATGGTCGTGTATTAGTGATTGATGTTGATAAAGATGATAAAATGGTTGACGAACTACTTGAATTTAAAGAAAAACTGGATCACTTTGTTCATGAATGCTTTCATAGCAATGAAAAATTTGGAAATATCCTGAAAGATTCATTTGAATTTTTTATAAATCAACGTTCAAATAAACCAGCTGAATTAATTGGTATGCATAGAATTGTTTTGTTGTTGACTTTGTATGTGTGTTAATTTATTTTTAGCGAAAGCAGTTGATGCAAGACTACGTACAGGAAACAAAGAAGCAACAGAAGAAGAATTAGAGAAAATACTTGATAAATTGCTCATTCTATTTCGTTTTATTCATGGAAAAGATGTATTTGAAGCATTTTATAAAAAAGATTTAGCTAAACGTTTGTTAGTTGGGAAAAGTGCATCAGTTGATGCAGAAAAATCCATGTTACTTAAACTTAAACAAGGTTAGATTACATAGTTTTGTTTTATTGATTAGACTGTTTTTATTTCTATTCATAGAATGTGGCAATATATTTACGAGCAAACTTGAAGGAATGTTTAAAGATATTGAATTATCAAAAGACATTATGACGGCATTTGAACAGGTAGTTGCCATATCAAATGCATAGATTTACTTGTCCTCTTTACGTCTATTAGATTATAACATGCTTAAGAGCCGATAGTTTTCATAAAAAGACAAATAATTCATTCTAAAACATTAATCTATTTATAGTACTTGCATGGCCATAAAGCACCTGAAAATATTGGTATGTCTGTGTGTGTTTTAACTATGGGATTTTGGCCAACATATCCAACAGTTACTGCTATTCTACCGCCAGAAGTAAGTCTCGTCGATATGTTTTGATTTTGGTTTTGTATTGATGATTTTTGTTTTAGTTTTGTCGATTACAAGAAATTTTTACAACTTTCTATTTAAGTAAACATACTGGACGTAAACTTCAATGGCAATACACACTCGATCATTGTTTACTGAAAGGATGGCTTAAACAAAAGGTTTTAATTACAGATAAACTTAAATGAAACATATAATCTTAGGTGTTTTGGAACAATTAAAATTTCCATTGCTCGTTTAGTCGAAACAAACAACCGCTTAGTAACTCTTTACTCGATTTGTGAACCTTAAATAAGCCTTTCCTAGAATCTATCCTTTTTTTATTCAACTATTAGTTTTATTTATTCCATTTATTTTATTTTTCAGGCAGTAAAAGAATTTCATGTCTCGCTTTATCAAGCACTTGTTCTTCTTCTTTTTAATCAACAAAACGATGTTACTTATAAAGATATTCATGAACAAACTAAAATTGGTTCGTATTCTTTTACTCTTTGAAATGTTCGTCATAATTATGTTTTTTCTCTGAAATCTTTTCAGTGGAACCTGAATTAAAACGAACATTACAATCATTAGCATGTGGAAAAATTCGTCTATTAAATAAAAAACCAATGGTGAAAATTATCTTCTTCTTGTTGGTTCAATTCATTGAATTGTGCTGTTTTGTTTTTACTTTAGAGTAAAGATGTTAATTCAGATGATCTATTTTCATTAAATACTTCATTCGAACATAAATTAATTCGCATAAAAATCAATCAAGTTCAATTAAAAGAAACGGTTCGTATCAATACTAAAATCCGTGTGATCATCTCTATAGTCTTGATAGTAACGATATTTTGTTTTATCTTTTAGCCTGAAGAGAACAGTTCAACAACTGAACGTGTTGTTCAAGATCGTCATTGTCAAATAGATGCAGCTATTGTTCGCATAATGAAAACACGTAAAACATTATCACATGCGCAACTCATGGCCGAAGTTTTTTCACAATTAAAGTTTCCTCTATCAGTAAGAAAAAAAATCAATTAGAATTATTTTTCTTATTATCTTTTTCTTTGCATTTTAGACATCAGTAGTTAAAATTCGTATTGAAAGTTTAATTGAACGTGAATATATGAAACGATCTGCAGAAAGTGCAAATGTATACGAATACGTTGCTTAATATACATATTTATAAATATATATTTGAATATATTTTTTTTGGCATCCGTCCTATTTTTTTTCAGTTTTGTCAATTTGTTTTTGTTTTATCATTTTCATTAGTCTAATCACAAGCCTAAGAAAGCGAATAAAGCTGAGTTCCTCTTCTTTTTTAGCTTCTAGATTGAAAACAACGAACATGGTTCGCCTATTGCGTTATGGAACTATATTTGGATCATTGAAAGATCGTTGGAGATACTTATATAAAAGTGATTTATATAAAAGAAGACTGGAAGCTGGTCCAGAACCAGAACGTTTTCGATCAGCATTAATTAATTGGTAGGTTTTACTTTGAGATAAGAAGAAGAAAAAAACCACCGAAGATTTTTATTTGAAAAGGAATTATGATGCAGAATTATACGCGTGTACACATCGATTTGGTGAGAAGCTAAATATTGAATCGTTACGAAATGCCATGACTGATGCTTCATTTTTAAAGCAAATCGTTAAACAACGTACTGAAGCAGGTATGAGCAAATATAAGAGGAACTCGTTTTTTCGATAATAGAAAATACTATGTTAAGGTCTTGCTGCTACTGATCAAACAACATTGTCATTTACTCATAATGAAGAATTAGCAAAGCAAGGTTAGAAATCATTGGAGTTCTAGATATTTAATTGACAATTTGTTATTAGGAAAACAAATCGCTGAAGATTTCTTACAAAAAGCTCTTCATTATTGGTATCCAAAATTTCCACAGGAAGGCATTGAGTAAGTTACTCTTTTTGAAATAATTGGAAACATGAATTCATAATACTATTTTAGGGCTATAACAAAATTTCTCCTTTCGGAGTCAACAATAGCTGATATAAGCTCAGGTCTTGGTTTTAAAACACTTATTCGATGTGATGTAGGTTAATTTCGATACTTTATTAGGCGTGCCCCATATCACCTTACTGTTAAAATATCCACCAAAATTCAAAAGCTTCTATAACAGTTATACGTCAAAGTCACGAGGTTTTTGGAAGTTATCCGTCATCTTGAAGACATTCCATACATACGTCTGACAGCCTTTGAAAAATCAACCATTCCCTCATACAAACGATATTCACAAGAGTCAGGTATTCTTATGAAAGATTGCAATAAACATTCCTGTACTATTCTTTGGAAAACAGTATTCGCTACATATCAACAGAAATAAAGTAGCTATAGACACATTTTATCTGTTTCAGAAATTTCAGAAAATTTTTCTCTAGGATGCAAGTAAGCATCCTAGTTTCTATCTCCTTAACAGCGTCGACGATTGGATCGTAATATTTTTCTTTTAATAGATACCATCACCTCGTCCAACTATGCTTACAAATGCTCTCTTTGCTTTTATTGGTTCCATTAATGAAAATAGTGTTAGTAAATTTTAATTGTTAATTATTGAATTATTTATCTGAATATTTTCAGGGCCAATCAAGAGCTGAAGTTTTTGTTGCTGATTTTATTTTAACACATCTTGTAGGAAAAGATATTAATGAAATATGGCAAGTTAAAAATCCAATGGGTCTATTAACCAAAGTTTTAGAAGAGAATGGAAGACAAGCACCTGAATCTCGGTTAGATAAAGATGAAAATTTCTAAGACATTGGTTTTTGTTTTATTTTACAATAGATTGATATGGGCAACGGGCGTTTCTAGCGTACTTTCGACGTATGTCGTTGGTGTATATTCCAATAAAGAATTTCTTGGAAAAAGTAAAAGAAACAATTTATGTAGCATGACTTATGAGACATAATGAATTTATTTTAGGTGCCGGTGCAACAGTTTCAATTGCTGAAGAAATGGCAGCACGTGACGCGTTACGTCATTTGTTTGAAACTGATGAAAAACGAGCACAGATCCCTTTTGATAATCTCTATAAAAAAGGATTGTTAATACATAAATAAATCAACAACAAAGAAAAATGTTTGTCGACTATTTTGTGTTGTTTTTATTCTGACTCATTCCGTCGAGGTAATAGAGACAAGCACATGGACATGACATGAAATCGTATCGTCATCCAATAATATTTACTCGTCGTTTAGCACATAGATGATTTCGCAACGATTATAGAGGGGAAAAAAGAGAAATATATTTATATGTAATCTGACAATGAGCACGGGAAATATAAATTCAAAAAATGAAGCTATTAATTCATAGCACTTCTTAGTAACATTTTACTATTTGCTATTTATTGTACGTGTTTTAATCGAAATCAACTATAGCTAATAATATCTATTATACAATACTTGTTTGATAAAGAGTAAAGTCAGTCCAATACGTCTATAAATGAAAAAATAATCGAATGGTTTAGGAATAAATCAATATGTAGAAAATGTCACATTTTTAAATCCTAAATGACAATTTCTAACCACCAAAAGCGCAGCTGTTTTGATAAAAAAATATCGCAACCTTAAAACTAGAATATGTTTCATATTAACCTTCATCAGTTCCGTATACAACTGAGAATATGTTGTGCGTATCTGATTCGTTGTTTTTCTTTTTTAATTCTGACGTACATATCACAATCTTTGATTATTTATTCAATAAGCACTACTTCTTTCGTAGTCTTTTTCTCTATTTAGATACATTATTTTGTTTGTTATCATTTATATTAAAGTTGTCTACGTTTACATTTCTGGTGCTATATTTAACTTATTGTTAGCGCAAAAAATGGTTCGTTACTAGTACATTGAATGCCCTCGTGCATGTGATCACTCGCAGAGCGTATGATACATGAATAAAATGCAGGTATACATCAATATTTCTTAAGGCCACAAGAACGCGAAAGAAAGGCAACACACTGTACGCCACACGACAGAACGATGAATATACGTTGTAAATTTCTTCTTTTTTCAACTTCAACAGTTCGTCGTATTATTTCTGTTCGCTGGTTAGTACATTTAATACTTATTCTACGAAAAAGTATTTCATTTTTTTTCACAGGACTCACCCTTCAGATGGACCTGAACCAGCTTATCATCATGTTGCATCTGGTTATCAAATCTATAAACATCAGCATGAACCGTTTAAATTTAAATATAATAATAAATCATTAAATCAATTTCAACTTGCTTATGAAACATGGGGCAAGTTAAATGCAAAAAAAAATAATGCTATTCTGATTTTTACGGGTCTGAGTGCTAGTTCACATGCAAAAAGTCATGAAGTATGTTTTTATTTTATTGGATTACAAGTAAATATAAATTTGAATTTAGCAAAATCTAAACCCTGGTTGGTGGGAAAAATTCATTGGACCGAACTTAGGTATTGATACGAATCACTTTTTTGTTATTTGTTGTAATCATCTTGGGGGTTGTTACGGTTCAACGTATGTTTATTTTTCTTTTCATAGGCTTTAAGTTTGTTTCTATCTGTTTATTTAGTGGGCCTTCATCAATAAATCCTGAAACAAAGAAGCCATATGGTGCGTCTTTTCCTATGCTATCTGTTGAAGATTTTGTTCGTGCACAATTCCAATTACTAAAACATCTAGGAATTGAAAAGGTAAGAATAGACAATTATAGGAAATTTTTACAGTTAATTTTTTTTCCCCATTAAAGCTTCATGCAAGTATTGGTTCATCATTAGGTGGCATGTGTTCAATTCTATCGGGTCTTTTATACCCGGAGAATATTGGCAGGTAGTAAATCAATTATTTATCTTGATTATTATTATTTTCATTTATTTAGAGTAGCAACTATTTCTTCTTGTATAGCACCGTATCCAACTGCTATTGCTCTACGATATCTTCAACGAAAAATGATAATGACTGATCCTAGTTGGGATCACGGTCATTACTATGATACAGGTGCATATCCACTTGAGGGTATGCGTATTGCAAGAGAAATTGCGACACTTACATATCGATCCGGACCTGAATGGCTTGAGAGATTTGGTTTACGTCGTTTTAATGATAATGTTCAATTGACGCCAACATTTGAAATTGAAAGTTATTTACAATATCAAGGTTTAACATTTGCAAAAAAATATGATCCAAATTCATTATTATATATATCTAAAGTTAGTAGACAATCGAGTTACTAAACGTTTGATTTATATCGATTATCAATAGGCAATGGATCTATTCAATTTAACTGAAGGCCATGATAATCAACGTGAAGCATTAGCAAAAATTCAATGTCCTGTCCTTGTCTTAGGTTCACAAACTGATATTCTTTTTCCAATTTGGCAACAGAAACAATTAGCTGAAGGACTTATAGAGTCAGGTAAGATAAAGTTGCAAAACGAAAACAAAAATTGAACTATATCTTTGATATTTTCAGGAAATCCAAGTGTAACATTCTTCGAATTGAATAGTATTTTTGGACATGATACATTTTTACTCGATATCAATGGTGTTAGCACTGCTCTTAAAGTAAGTGAATGAATTATTTTATTGTTTTCGATTGTAACATTTGTTCTATTCAATTCGCTAGGGTTTTCTGGAGATATCAGCCTTGTCAATTGAAGAAGAAAGTCGCACGTAGATGCTTGAAAATATTTGTTTATTATAATCTTTCTTTTATTTCTAGTTTTTTTCTTATTTATTAAAAACTATTTTATATCGAACATTGAAAATTTATCAGTTGCGTTCAAATCTAAATGATATCGTTAAAGTCAAATCTTTTAATGACTATCCTATTAAAAATAAAGTCAATAATCATGTAAATATTTTCTTAGGCTTGATAAAAATGAATATTTTGATAAATTTGGTAAATGGTGTGAGCATGCTTTGGAAGTAAAATCAAAAACAAAAGGCAAAAATATGAGCACACATAAAAAAAACGATTGCACTAGCCGGGAATCGGACCCGGGTCGCCCGCGTGGCAGGCGAGCATTCTACCACTGAACCACCAGTGCTTATTGATAACTGGTTTAATATTCTATGTATATCACGACAGCAAGAAAAAAAAGTACGTCCGGTCGTCGGTAAAGAAAAAATAACAAATTCATGCGTCTGCTTCACTATACAACGGAGAAAATAGAGATAGTGAGGCATTCGTACGATTCAGGTACAGACCGATGGTACATCATATCCGAGATAATTATTTGAAGAAACTCTTGGTGACATTCTTACTGTATCACGATTGACCATGCAAAATTTTAATTTGATTTCTTAAATAAATACTGAGTCTGTCCAAATAACAAACATGACGAAATTTTATCGAGATAAGATGTCTCAAGTTGTTTTGTATAGTTGTCAAAAATAATCAGAAAATTTCCATTAAAGATTTTCCATAAATATGATCATTTGTTATTGTACAGAATATAAAAATAATCTCAGTTCTTAGTATTTTGTGGAACTCACATATATTTTCGAAGAAAATAGTGAGTGTAAGTATAATTGTGAGTTTTTTGCGGCTCCCCGGTTAGGGGCGGCNTTTTTGAACAAAATATGATCTTACTACAATGAAAAATCAAAACTTCTATTTGATCAGTATCTAACTGACCGAAATATGTGAGTTCCACATTTTAGTCCCAACGGGGCTGGGATGAAAAGCTTTTTCTAATAAAAGAAGACGCGCTATTATATAACTATCACCAGCAAATACATTCTCAATTTAATGTATGATCAGCCAGTATCACATGAGACTAGTATACACGATTAAATAAATGTAAGGACGAAAAAAAAATACTGCACTAGCCGGGAATCGGACCCGGGTCGCCCGCGTGGCAGGCGAGCATTCTACCACTGAACCACCAGTGCATGTTGCTCACTAGTTCATATCGTATATTTATTACTATATCTCGACGATAGACTTCATACAATCGATTCAACGAAAAAAATTCTTTTTTATTATCAAGGAATTCGTTTGGTGTAAAGTAATGACGATGAAAAATGCGAAGAAACTTCAATCTAATAAGTTTAGTAGTATACAATGTGACTGTTCTGCTCGTCGACAATTCTGATGGATCGGTTAGATTTACACTAATATTTTTTTTCTGTTAATTTAATATAAAAATCAAAGGAAAACTTTCGTTCATTGCTTACTCCTTAAATGATTAATAACTGTAAAGCATGATCGCAAATGAATAATTTTTTGAGAAAAATTTTGTGATGTTTACTTTGAAATTAACGAATAACAATCTGTTATCAGTTTCGCAAAAGGCGTCCTTGGTCAGTGAGCGACGTGTGATAATTTTCGAAACCAATTACAGATTTCAATCAATTGACTATGTGAATCTTCGATTAAAACTCGTGAAAAGAATCATTCCATACATTCTAGTGTTCGTCTGTTAGCTATATGATCGTTCTTCAATTGAGTCTTGTAAAATATTGAAGGAAACATCGTTATTAAAGAAGTTGGGTAATAGATTATAAAATACAGTCTCTCTCTATTATAAAATTGGTAATCAAGGAAAAATAATAATTTTTCGCTACTGATAACTGTATGTTTGATTCGATCATATAATTTAAAGCATTAGTTAAGACCTTTTCTCGAATTTTTGATAGCCAAGTGTTGTCAGATCATGTCGCCGTTAGCTGATTATAGTTATATGCTATTTATGATTGCAAAAAAAACCATTAAAACACTTTGTAGAATTTTTTCTACCACAATTGATTTCTACACAGTCATATAGGAAGTCTCTAACATGATTTTATGAAATATCATTATTGCTTTGCATCTGTGATTAAACTGCAAGTAAAATAGTTGCAAAAAAAACAAAACTTCATATAAAAATCGTAATTTTCGTCTACGTAGATATTTATAATCCTAATTTATCTGTACACAAAAATAATAATTGCACTGGCCGGGAGTCGAACCATAAATCCATTCAAATATTATTATCGTGAGATTAACCTAGCTTCACCTAAGGTTTCGCTAATGTTCATCTGATGAGCAAATCGCTCATCGGGAATGTCGTTTGGAAAACGAGTATTTTACCACTAAACTACCAATGCTCGTAACTAACTAGTCGATTTTATACTGAGTATGATATATCATTAGCACAAACCTATTGAATTCATATCAGAGAACAAAAATATACTGATAATAATGCTCCTGTGTGAAAAGAATTCTACATTGAATGAAATTATTTTACAAAGCAGATACTACTTCAATATAGTCGAGAGTTCTATCACTAATCTAGGTATATTATATAAGGGAAATTGAAACGGAGATCTAGCAAAGCAGTGTCAAAATCAAGCATCAATTTAATATTAACAATATTCCGACGAAAAAGATGGCATTCATGAAAAATACCATTTAAGATCCTGATTTCGAAAAAAAAGTAAGAACATTTTGTTCAAAAATAATCTTATTTCATCTACATTTACTAAACTTCGTCGTCATTTTTTATTACGTGAGATGAATGGTTATATGCGTTATCACCCGTTAATACGCTCTCAACGTAGCTTTTGATCAATCGATATCATGTGTCAGTAGTATACACGATTGACTATATTGGTAGGACCAAAAAAATTGCACTAGCCGGGAATCGGACCCGGGTCGCCCGCGTGGCAGGCGAGCATTCTACCACTGAACCACCAGTGCATATTGAAGACTGAATCGTATTGCATATTTATGGCTAAAGTCAAAACAGAGGTCAGAGTCCATCAGAAGAAACACAAAATTGCACTTAATTATTTAATTCTAGAAAGACAATATAGATTTAGCAAAGTTTTCGAACAACATCATAATAATAATTAAAACTTAGAGAATCTCATATGCGTGGCAAATTTTATGAATTAGAGAGACTTACTCTTCAGACAGTATCATATTTTTTTCTAACTCAAAGGTAATTCTTATAGTAGAAACTAATATCCAACCTAGAAGTTTCGATGTACATATTGGTATGAGAAAAATTAACACTGGTGCAAAAAGTGAATCTTTCCAATCTATCGGTCTAGGACTGAAATTCAATTTAAAAAAAAATGCACTAGCCGGGAATCGGACCCGGGTCGCCCGCGTGGCAGGCGAGCATTCTACCACTGAACCACCAGTGCATATTGAAGACTGAATCGTATTACGTATTTATGGCTAAAGCCAAAGCAGAGGTCAGAATCCATGAGAAGAAACACACAAAATTGCACTTAATTATTTAATCCTAGAAAGACAGTATTCTTTCGTTCTGTTTTTAATCCTTTCGTTCTATGTATTATTCGATTGCGTCTATACATATATAGATCAGAGACCGAAACGAATGACAAGAGTGCCATTCGGTTCGATTCGGCTATTTTAGGGCCTGGATTCGGATTGGATTCGAGTTTTCTGGTTTTTCAAAATTGTAATTCGATTTGATTCGATCCGGCTAAAATTGGGTTTACAAAACATGGTACTCACTATTACATAGTATTGTTGTTTTCACATAGTCATCTTCTTAGGATGAGAATAGTCTGTCGATCTTGTATATAAATATGTTGAATAAATATAATTAATGAATATATGCATAAGAATTATTCATTTTTTTCAAGAAAGAATATACAAAATATAAATTAATGGACACATCTAAGAGTAGACTAATTAAATAAGTTTATTATCTATAGAACGAAGAAAAATAATGTCATTCACTCTATATGGCTCTATATTTACACTTGACCATAGCCATACTTAAGGGGCTCCCCCCCTCTCAGGAATCGTTTTTCGTTATTCGTGGACCGATTTGTCTGACATTTTTAGGCAATATGGATGTTGTGTTAACTCAATTTATTGTAAAGTTTTGGCTCATAAAGTTTTTGCTTCAAAGAGTTATTGACAAATTAGTCCCCAAAATGGTGGTCTCGTAAGGTACCGATTTCTCGAACTGCCAAAGACGTAGAGAGCTACTTTTTTTTAAATAAAAGAGGAAACCTATGTGTAGAAATGTGCATACCGTCTTAATTCGATTTTGTTGGGATATCCGAGACATTCTACTGCAAGAACTCGGAATTTAGCGCTTTTTGACATCAGTGTTATCCAGTTATCTCGGCAAAGAAATCCAAAATTTCGAAAAAATGGTATGTACATATCTAGACATAGGTTTCTTCTTTTATTTAGAAAAAAAATAGCTCGCTAGCTCTTCTACAGTCTGAGAAATCGATCCCGAACTCTCCAAAAAAAGTGATTTTGAGAAAACGAATAAACAAGTTGATGAAACAATTTTTCATTTCACTATGACTGTCACGACATCTATACGTAAATTTCTTCATGTGCACAGGATTTTAAGTAGAAATGACTATACGTTCCACTAATTAATTAATATAACAGAACGCGTATCTGTTTCTCATTAGATAAAATCTACCAGTTTGTGGACGACTATCACATCCCCGTAACTAAGGAAAATTTCTGAAGAAATCATATATTTCTACTACGGCTTCCAGAAAACCGCTATTTTCACTGCCAAAAACTATTCAAAACGTGACAAATCGCGCATAATCTCAAAGAGGACACTTTGGGCTCTCAGTATATATATGATTATCTCAAAACCGATCTTTGTGAAAAAAATCGATTATCTGAGGGGGAGCTCCTTAATAAATCAGGAGGTTGATATTAAGACCGCAATCACA